GGGTGCCAGGGGTAAATGTAAATGGGGAGCCTTTAATTGAGCTATGTATAGAAAGAAATTTGGTAATAAGTAATACATATTTTATGAAAAAGAGGATAAATAAATATACAAGGTATGATGTGAGTTTGCATAAATGGGGAGAAATCAGAGTGGGGAAGCGTCACGAGCGGTGTTCCACAGGGGTCAGTGTTGGGCCCCCTGCTGTTCACAATCTACATAAACGACATAGATGAGGGCATAAAGAGCGACATCGGCAAGTTTGCCGATGACACCAAAATAGGCCGTCAAATTCATTCTGACGAGGACATTCGAGCACTCCAGGAAGATTTGAATAGACTGATGCAGTGGTCGGAGAAGTGGCAGATGCAGTTTAATATAGACAAATGCAAAGTTCTAAATGTTGGACAGTACAATAACCATGCCACATATAAACTAAATAATGTAGATCTTAATATTATGGATTGCGAAAAAGATTTAGGAGTTCTGGTTAGCAGTAATCTGAAACCAAGACAACAGTGCATAAATGTTCGCAATAAAGCTAATAGAATCCTTGGCTTCATATCAAGAAGCATAAATAATAGGAGTCCTCAGGTTGTTCTTCAACTCTATACATCCTTGGTTAGGCCTCATTTAGATTATGCTGCACAGTTTTGGTCACCGTATTACAGAATGGATATAAATGCTCTGGAAAATGTACAAAGGAGGATGACAAAGTTGATCCCATGTATCAGAAATCTTCCCTATGAGGAAAGACTGAGGGCCCTGAATCTGCACTCTCTAGAAAGACGTAGAATTAGGGGGGATATGATTGAGGTGTATAAATGGAAGACAGGAATAAATAAAGGGGATGTAAATAGTGTGCTGAAAATATCAAGCCTAAACAGGACTCGCAGCAATGGTTTCAAGTTGGAAAAATTCAGATTCAGGAAGGATATAGGAAAGTACTGGTTTGGTAATAGAGTTGTGGATGAGTGGAACAAACTCCCAAGTACAGTTATAGAGGCCAGAACGTTGTGTAGCTTTAAAAATAGGTTGGATAAATACATGAGTGGATGTGGGTGGGTGTGAGTTGGACCTGATAGCTTGTGCTACCAGGTCGGTTGCCGTGTTCCTCCCTTAAGTCAATGTGACCTGACCTGACTAGGTTGGGTGCATTGGCTTAAGCCGGTAGGAGACTTGGACCTGCCTCGCATGGGCCAGTAGGCCTTCTGCAGTGTTCCTTCGTTCTTATGTTCTTATGTTTTTATGTAGCACGTAATGAAAGTAGTTTGTTAGATTATGTATTGGTGGATAAAAGGTTGATGGGTAGGCTCCAGGATGTACATGTTTATAGAGGGGCAACTGATATATCGGATCATTATTTAGTTGTAGCTACAGTTAGAGTAAGAGGTAGATGGGAAAAGAGGAAGGTGGCAACAACAAGTAAGTGGGAGGTGAAAGTGTATAAACTAAGGGAGGAGGAAGTTCGGGTGAGATATAAGCGACTATTGGCAGAAAGGTGGGCTAGTGCAAAGATGAGTAGTGGGGGGTTGAAGAGGGTTGGAATAGTTTTAAAAATGCAGTATTAGAATGTGGGGCAGAAGTTTGTGGTTATAGGAGGGTGGGGGCAGGAGGAAAGAGGAGTGATTGGTGGAATGATGAAGTAAAGGGTGTGATAAAAGAGAAAAAGGTAGCTTACGAGAGGTTTTTAAACAAAGCAGAAGTGTTATAAGAAGAGCAGAGTATATGGAGAGTAAAAGAAAGGTGAAGAGAGTGGTGAGAGAGTGCAAAAGGAGAGCAGATGAAAGAGTGGGAGAGGCACTGTCAAGAAATTTTAATGAAAATAAGAAAAAATTTTGGAGTGAGTTAAACAAGTTAAGAAAGCCTAGGGAAAGTATGGATTTGTCTGTTAAAAACAGAGTAGGGGAGTTAGTAGATGGGGAGAGGGAGGTATTAGGTAGATGGCGAGAATATTTTGAGGAACTTTTAAATGTTAAGGAAGAAAGGGAGGTGGTAATTTCATGCACTGGCCAGGGAGGTATACCATCTTTTAGGAGTGAAGAAGAGCAGAATGTAAGTGTGGTGGAGGTACGTGAGGCATTACGTAGAATGAAAGGGGGTAAAGCAGCTGGAACTGATGGGATCATGACAGAAATGTTAAAAGCAGGGGGGATATAGTGTTGGAGTGGTTGGTACTTTTGTTTAATAAATGTATGAAAGAGGGGAAGGTACCTAGGGATTGGCGGAGAGCATGTATAGTCCTTTATATAAAGGGAAAGGGGACAAAAGAGATTGTAAAAATTATAGAGGAATAAGTTTACTGAGTATACCAGGAAAAGTATACGGTAGGGTTATAATTGAAAGAATTAGAGGTAAGACAGAATGTAGGATTGCGGATGAGCAGGGAGGCTTCAGAGTGGGTAGGGGATGTGTAGATCAAGTGTTTACATTGAAGCATATATGTGAACAGTATTTAGATAAAGGTAGGAAAGTTTTTATTGCATTTATGGATTTAGAAAAGGCATATGATAGAGTGGATAGAGGAGCAATGTGGCAGATGTTGCAAGTATATGGAATAGGTGGTAAGTTACTAAATGCTGTAAAGAGTTTTTATGAGGATAGTGAGGCTCAGGTTAGGGTGTGTAGAAGAGAGGGAGAATACTTCCCGGTAAAAGTAGGTCTTAGACAGGGATGTGTAATGTCACCATGGTTGTTTAATATATTTATAGATGGGGTTGTAAAAGAAGTAAATGCTAGGGTGTTCGGGAGAGGGGTGGGATTAAATTATGGGGAATCAAATTCAAAATGGGAATTGACACAGTTACTTTTTGCTGATGATACTGTGCTTATGGGAGATTCTAAAGAAAAATTGCAAAGGTTAGTGGATGAGTTTGAGAATGTGTGTAAAGGTAGAAAGTTGAAAGTGAACATAGAAAAGAGTAAGGTGATGAGGGTATCAAATGATTTAGATAAAGAAAAATTGGATATCAAATTGGGGAGGAGGAGTATGGAAGAAGTGAATGTTTTCAGATACTTGGGACTTGACGTGTCGGCGGATGGATTTATGAAGGATGAGGTTAATCATAGAATTGATGAGGGAAAAAAGGTGAGTGGTGCGTTGAGATATATGTGGAGTCAAAAAACGTTATCTATGGAGGCAAAGAAGGGAATGTATGAAAGTATAGTAGTACCAACACTCTTATATGGATGTGAAGCTTGGGTGGTAAATGCAGCAGCGAGGAGACGGTTGGAGGCAGTGGAGAAGTCCTGTCTAAGGGCAATGTGTGGTGTAAATATTATGCAGAAAATTCGGAGTGTGGAAGTTAGGAGGTGTGGAGTTAATAAAAGCATTAGTCAGAGGGCAGAAGAGGGTTGTTGAGGTGGTATGGTCATTTAGAGAGAATGGATCAAAGTAGAATGACATGGAAAGCATATAAATTTATAGGGGAAGGAAGGAGGGGTAGGGGTCGTCCTCGAAAGGGTTGGAAAGAGGGGTAAAGGAGGTTTTGTGGGCTAGGGGCTTGGACTTCCAGCAAGCGTGCATGAGCGTATTAGATAGGAGTGAATGGAGGCGAATGATACTTGGGACCTGACGATCTGTTGGAGTGTGAGCAGGGTAATATTTAGTGAAGGGATTCAGGGAAACCGGTTATTTTCATATAGTCGGACTTGAGTCCTGGAAATGGGAAGTACAATGCCTGCACTTTAAAGGAGGGGTTTGGGATATTGGCAGTTTGGAGAGATATGTTGTGTATCTTTATACGTATATGCTTCTGAACTGTTGTATTCTGAGCACCTCTGCAAAAGCAGTGATAATGTGTGAGTGTGGTGAACGTGTTGAATGATGATGAAAGTATTTTCTTTATGGGGATTTTCTTTCTTTTTTGGGTCACCCTGCCTCGGTGGGAGACGGCCAACTTGTTGAAAAAAAAAAATAATAATATCTTTATTTACTACATGTACATGGTATACAGGCCTAGCTGACATCGGTGACATACTACTATATAGAAAGCCGCTTGTTATGCAGAGTATTTCAAGAAAATTAGGTCGGTGTCCCAGGATAACACCCACACTAGTCGGCTAACACCCAGGTACCCATTTACTGATGGGTAAACATAGACAACAGGTGTAAAGAAATATGCCTAATGTTTCTACCCTGGCTGGGAATCGAATATTTACCAAAAATCATATATGGCTAACCCAAGCCAGGTACTAGAAATAAGCCACGTTGACTTTTTTGGGTTATCCTAGGTTCTCTACACATATGCTGCTATGTGTGATAATCTATATAGAGAAAATAACTTTTTTGTTTCAGGTTTATGGTGCAGTATGAGTGTATATCACAGTTAGCTCTGTGCTATACTCTGTTTTCTCTAATATAAGCCCCAAGACAGGGATAGGAGAATGGTATTTGTATACCATATCCTCTTCATTCCTCCGTCGAACTGCTCGGTGTTATGCCAAATATTATTTATTCTGGAGTATTTAACATGTTTTATGTTATTTATATTGTTTATTATGTCATATTAGATCAATTGTGATAGGCAAATAAGCTGTAGTGTTGATATTAGCATAATAATAAAGCATATTCTCCTGCTTCATGAGACTGAGCTCATGACAACTGACAGTGGCTTCAAAGCCACCTTATCTTTAATGGATAATGTACTGTGTAGGTGCTTTACATAATGAGAAGCATTTCTTTTATTCATTGGAACCATGGCTAGGGCTAAAAGTAAGCAGGTTAAAAAATAAATGGAGAAAAAGAAATTGGAATGACTTATGCAGCAAGTAGTGCCACCAAACAGTACCAGCAGGTTGGTGTGGCAACCCTAGAAATTTGAAATTATGCTAGCCAAAATTAGTGCTGAATAACTGAAGAAACAGAATAACTGATTGCCGGATTTATAATGGCAGACCTGTAACTTATATCAAAGGCTCAAAAGAAATCTTGCAAAAAAAAAAAAAAAAAATGCTAAGCATAAAAATTCTATTATAAAAAAAAATTGAAGGAAAGCACTCACTGCAATTGGGTAAAGTAATGAGTTCGTGATCAGTAGGGAGGGGCTCTGGTACCATCACGTCCAGTCCTGCTGCACGAATCTGCTTCGTCTTGAGAGCTTTGATCAAAGCATCTTGATGAATGACACCTGTAAGAAAAATGGATATCTTAAAATGCTATAATAAATAAAGCAATAAATTCATTGTCTTTTACTTTCAAAACTAATTCATAAATAAATTCTAAACAAATATTCCTTTTAACTTAATAAGGAAACACCCAGCACTATATGCTATTTTGCCTAATTTCAGACATCAGTTTTTGAGACGGCAACAGACTCAACATCAGTTTTCTGCTTTTACATACCTCAATACATTCTTTAAAATATTACTATCTTAATATTATTATTATTTTTTAATACACTGGCCATCTCCCACCTTGGTAGGGTGACCAGAAAAATAAACACTTCCACTATCATTCACACTATCACTGTCTTGCCAGAGGTGCACAGATATGACAGCTTAAATGTCCCTCTAGACAGCAAATGGCCCAAACTCCTCCTTTAGAGTGCAGGCTTTCATTATTATTAATGAAAGCACTAAAACTCTAATTACCTCTTTGTAATTATCTATGAGTTTGAGAAGAGCTTTAGCTCTTGGCCCCACCTTTTGACTTTCAGCTGACTGGTCTGCAACAGTCCTGTCATTCTGAGTTTTGAGTCAGTACACAGAGTCAGCTTTTAAGTCAACGTTTAATTCACTCCAATTCTTTACCGCTCTCACTTTAAAAGAAAGATTTTTTGATATCCATGTAGGTCATTCAGTGCTAGCAGACACAGATGAGGGAGACGGTAAAAGAAAACAAAGTGGTGTAGAGAAGAGTACATAGTAAAAGAAGAAATCAGAGTCCATATTAAAAGTGGGACTGTCAGAGTAAACATGTCAGCAAATTGAAAAGAGCATTTCAAATGCACACTCTTCAATTAACAATTTTGTTTTGTCTCTATTCTCATATAGTGCATACATGTATGTACAGTGGACCCCCGCATAACGATGGCATCACATAGCAATTATTTCGCATACCGCTTACTTTAATTGCAAAAATTTTGCCTCACATACCGCTTAAAAACCCGCTTACCGATTTTCTTCCGAGACGCGCTCACATGTTCCGCCGGTGGCATTGTTTACCAGCCAGCCTCCGCGGTAACATCCAAGCATACAATCGGAATATTTCGTATTATTACAGTGTTTTCGGTGCTTTTTCTGGAAAATAAGTGACCATGGGCCCCAAGAAAGCTTCTAGTGCCAACCCTACAGCAATAAGGGTGAGAATTACAATAGAGATGAAAAAAAGATCATTGATAAGTATGAAAGTGGAGTGCATGTCTCCGAGCTGGCCAGGTTGTATAATAAACCCCAATCAACCATCGCTACTATTGGTGGTACAGCTGCTGCTGCTGCTGCACTGTCAGCTGCTGCTGCTGCTGCACTGTCAGCTGCTGCTGCTGCTGTAGCACCGTTGTTGGTGTGGCTTATTGAGAATACCAAGAAACAATTAACCCCAGAGGATTTGCCACCCAGGATAACCCAAAAAAGTCAGTGTCATCGAAGACTGTCTAACTTATTTCCATTGGGGTCCTTAATCTTATCTCCAGGATGCAACCCACACAAGTCGACTAACACTCAGGTGAACAGGGAAAAATGCCTGGAACTAGTGCTCATATTGGTGAATTTAAAGCCAGCAAAGGTTGGTTTGAGAGATTTAAGAATCGTAGTGGCATACACAGTGTGATAAGGCCTGTTCTGGAAGAAAATGCCAAACAGGACCTACAGTACTCAGGAGGAAAAGGCACTCCCAGGACACAGTGTCTCATCAGTCATTGCTGCATCTTCAATAAAGGTAAGTGTCATTTATTCTTCATTTAGTAGACTAGTACATGCACAATATATACTGTGCATGTACTACTCTACTATTGTGCATGTATCCTTCTCTTTGTGTGTGGGAAAATGTATATTTCATGTGGTAAAATTTTTTTTTTCATACTTTTGGGTGTCTTGCACGGATTAATTTTATTTCCATTATTTCTTATGGGGAAAATTCATTCACATAACGATTATTTCGCATAACAATTACCCCTCTTGCACGGATTAAAATCGTTAACCGGGGGTCCACTGTATATTGCTAGTCATCTTTTCTCAATTAGATTTGCAAGAGTCTATAAGCAACACAGATTTCAACACACAATAAACTCTTAGTATTTGTAGAACGTACCCCCTCTAGAAGTGTTGACAATGATGGCTGAGTTTTTCATCTTGGCAAATGCCTTATCATCAAATATTTCACGGGTTTCATCATTGAGGGCACATGTCACTATGATGAAATCTGATTCAGCCAGCAGGTTGTCAAAGGAAACATATTCAGCACCCATCTCTTCACCTGATTTGTTAAAAAAATTAGTTTGTCAAGCAGATGCATTTCTATACTGAGGTGAAATATTTAATATGAGTTAACAGGTGTTATCCTACCTCAGCTTATTTCAAAGTCCAGTTCTAAGGTGATCAGATGCCACAACAACTCCCAGGATTAACCCTTCAACCCAGCAAAAGCAATTTCAGGATTACACTTTGTTTATTACATAATTATAGTATAATCAGGTTGTTATTACTCTAGGCCAATTATACCAACTATATTTTCAACTCAGGATAGCTTCCATTACCTTCCTTTCTCGGGAAATGGCCAGAATATATGAAACGTTTCACGCCAAATCCTTGCAACCTTCGCAGCACACCTTGACCAATCCGCCCCAGTCCGAAAATGCCAACAGTTGAACCTAACAGGCCCCAGCCATTCATCCACAGAGGAGACCACACAGATTTTTTCCAACCTCCACTGTTAAAAAAAAAAAATTGGTTTGGCATTTTCTGTATAATTCTTTAGCAGCATTCAAAGTTAAAGTATCTTTCAAAACTGCGGATTCTTTATTTCCCTTCAAATATGGAAACTTTCTAACAACACTTATCACATTACCCCAAAGATTACTGTTATATTTGAGAAAACATTAAATCCATAGGGGCCATACAATGCCTGGACAATGGGAGGTAATCAGGTTTGATCTGAGGAAGGGGACCACAGCTCCAATTCCTTGGAATATCTCCTATGCTGGTACAAAAAACAAGAATATGTATGTGGCAAAGTTAAAGGGTGTACAGTAGAAAAGGGTAAAAACTGCACCATTACACACAAAGAGTGTAATGGAAATGTAATAAATGGTTAAACTGGTTAATTTATTTCCCATGATCAAAGGAGTAGCAAAAAATTACCAAGCAATTCCATAAAAAGAAGGGAAGTGACTATGACAGATTTCTATACAACAAAAAATGATCACATTAAAATGGTTCTGGGAATAATTAACTAAAATTATGCCAGGGTTACATAGTCAGAATAACATTTAACTTACTTGAGTATCTCTGTGTGAGCCTCGAACATCCTGCGCGATGTTGCCAGCAGCAGGGCAACTGTGAGCTCTGCTGTGGCATCAGTTAAGATCCCAGGAGTGTATCCAACCTATATATGAAAGACTGACTATATAAAAGACACTGCTCCAACTCACTAACTCAAACACCATTAACCCTTCGACTGTCGAAACCCCCAATCCTGAGGTGTCTCCTGGTGTCGCAAAATTTAAAAAAAAAAAATTATTTTTTCTTGTGAAATGATAGAGAATCTTTTCCCGATTGTAATGACACCAAAAAAACGAAATTTGATGGAAAACTGACGGAATTATGCGCTCACGAAGTTAGCGACCTCGGCGCTGTTTACAAATCGGCGATTTCGCCCACTTTGAGCCCTATTTTCGGCTAATTCCATTGTTCCAGTCACCCAAACTAATAGCTATTTCTTTATAACTCCATTTTTTCTATCGATTGAGTACAAGAAACTGCCCATTTACTGATTTCAACTACCTAATAATGTGGTCAGAAATTTGCAATTTGGCCAATTTCACGAAAACTAAAAAATATGACAATTTCAAAATAAGGTCCAGAATGAACAATGCAGACATTCCTGGCTCTAAAATAACATTTTCTTTGCTTATCAGTCATGTCTCCAGGCCCCTCTGATATTACTCTTGCTTTCTATTATGAATTTTTATTCAAACAAAAAATAGAAGACTTACTATTATGCAGACTACTGCAATACTGTAATAATTGTATAAATAACATCAACCCATTCATGACTGCATATCAGAACGGCTAGTTGGACATTTATTGGACAATGGCATCATTTGTTTACTTTTGAACATTGGCAAAAATCAAACATTTCCCCTACTTTGAGCTCCATTTCTAGTTCTTTTTATAGTAAAATCAATCAAAATCACCTCTATTTCTATAATATGTTTTCCATTCTATCAAATGAGACCAAGAAAACGAGAATACAACCATAAATACTATACGAAAATAGACCACAAAGTCGGCATTTTAATTAAAAAAAACGGTCAGTTTTTTTTTTCTCATTATGCACTGCGTGCTCCAGGATTTTTTTATATGGTGCACACTGACCACACAGACCCATTCTCTCACATGTGGGCCTACCAGCTTTCTCCTGCTTGATTTGAAGCCGCTAGAATTTATGAGTATATATACGTCAAACACGGTACCTCGTAAGACGTATATATACGGCCGCGACAGTCAAAGGGTTAACCCTTTGACTGTCGTAAGCCCCTTTCTGAAACTGTCATTCAATGTCGCAAAATTTTTGGAAAAAAAAAATTATTTTTCCTTATGAAATGACAAGAGAATCTTTTCCTGATGGTAATGACACCAAAAGTACAAAATCTAGTCGAAAACTCATGGAATTACGCTCCCACGAAGTTAGTGGTCTCAGCGACATGTATGCATCGCCGATTTCGCTGACTTTGAGCCCTGTTTTTGGCCAATTCCATTGTTCCAGTTGACCGAACTCATAACTCTTTCTTTAGAACTCCATTTTTTCTATCAATTGCATACAAGAAACTGCCCATTTACCAATTTGAACTACCCAATAAAGTGGTCAGAAATTGGCAATTTGGCCAATTGCACGCAAATTAAAAAAGATGCCAATTTCAAAATAGGGTCCAGAATAAACAATGTAGACATTCTTGGCACTAAAATAACATATCCTCTGTTCATTAGTCATGTCTCTAGGCCCCTCTTATATTACTATTGCTTTCTATTTTTATTTTTTATTCATACAAAAAATACAAAATTTACTGTTATGCAGACTACTGCATTATTGTAAAAATGGTATAAATATCAGTGCACTAGTGCAAGAATATCAGACTCCCCAGTTGACATGTATTGGACGTGTGGTGTGATTTGCTTACTCTTGAACATTGGTAAAAATCGAATATTTCCGCTGCTTTGAGTTCAATTTCAAGGTCATTTTCATCGTGAAACTAATCAAAATCAGAGTTTTTTTTTTCTCATTATGCACTGCGTGCTGCAGGATTTTTTATGTGGTGCACACTGACCACACAGACCAATTCTCTCACATGTGAGCCTACCAGCTTTCTCCTGCTTGATTTGAAGCCGCTAGAATTATTATGTACTTGTAGAAATAGATTATTGCTAACACTTTGGGATGCTTCAAAAATAGGCAAGACAAGTACATGAGTGGAACTGGTCTGGCCAGCCTAGGATTAGCCAGTGTACATACTGCTATTTTCCCCTATTGTTATATCCTCAATACACTGTGCACCACACATTAGGATCAAACCCACTGGCTTTAGATAGGTAGTACAGATATAACCCAGAAATAATCTTTGAGATCAAGAAAGAGTTTACAGTGCAGAATAAGAAATAATGTTCAAAAGAGTCAAAGAAATATAAAAGATATGCACACAATTTACACAAAAAATATTAATTTTTCTAAAACCTTTCATAATTTGCATCATACATGAGAATATTCTAATTTTAGTCTTATATATGTTGTGAATAATTTCTTTTGCATATCACCATTCATCACCATTCATATGCAGTATCTGAAAGACATGTACAAATTTTATGATACAATACCTCTGAAAACAAGAGATTCACATTAACACATTTATGTGATCTTTGTGATAATCTGGTGTCTATAATTACTTTTGAATGTCTTATGTTTTCAAGATGTTATCACATAATCTACATTCAACAATGCTTCCACTTTCCAAAATGGTTAGGGCCAGATACTTTAAAAGTTACTGGATCTTGAAAAGGTCAGTCCATTTAGCCTCTTAAACTGCTCTTCTCATATTACCATGGCTTACTAGGTAACATTTACTTGACACACTGAGTGTCCATGTTTTAATTCCCAGCATGAGTGGAAATGTTGAGCATGCTTCCTTACACCTGTTATCCCTGTTTACTATGCAGAAAGTAGGTACCTGGGTTAGTTGACTGGTGTGGGGTCAAATCCTGGGGGACAAGATTGAAGGAGCCCAATGGAAATATGACCGTCTTCAATGATGCACCAACTTACTTGGGTTATTCTTGGTGGCTAACCCTCTGGGTTAAAAATTAAAACAAATTATCTTATCTTACCTCTTGAAAACTTGATTCAGAGACATATTACCTTATCAAGTCATGCTACAGTTGAATATATGATTACACTCAAATTGGCACTGCAAGGAAAGACCCTCTGATTTTTAGTTTATATTTTTGTCTTTGTAGAAAGAATTAGAGGTAAGACAGAGGAGGACTGCAGATGAACAGGGAGGCTTTAGAATGGGTAGGGAGATGTGTAGACCAAGTATTTACATTGAAGCATATAAGTAAACAATATTTAGATAAAGGTAGGAAAGTTTTCATTGCATTTATGGATTTAGAAAAGGCATATGATTGGGTGAATAGGGCAGAAATGTGGCAGATGCTGCAAGTGTATGGAATAAGTGGTAAGTTATTAAATGCTGTAAAGAGTTTTTATGAAGATAGTGAGGCTCAGGTTAGGGTGTGTAGGAGAGAGGTAGATTACTTTGTGTAATGTCACCATGGTTGTTTAACATATTAATAGATGGGGCTGTAAAAGAAGTAAATGTTAGGGTTTGGGGGGGTGAAGGGGTGGGATTAAATTATGTGGAATCAAATACAAAATTGGAGTTGATATGGTTACTTTTTGCTGATGATACCATGCTTTTGAGAGATTCTAAAGAATAGTTGCAAAGGTTAGTGGACAAGTTGGGGAGGGTGTGTAAAGGAAGAAAACTGAAGGTGAACACAGCTAAGAGTAAGGTAATGAGGGTATCAAACGAGTTAGGTAAAGAGAAATAGGATATTACATTGGAGGGAGGGAGTATGGAAGAAGAAAATGTGTTCAGATATCTGGAAGTAGACTTGTCAGTGGATGGTTTTATGAAGGATGGGTGTGAAACATGGGTTGTAAATGCTGCAGCAAGGAAGAGGCTGGAGGCAGTGGAGGTGTCACGTCTAAGGGCAATATGTGGTGTAAATATTATGCAGAGAATTCATAGCTTGGAAATTAGGAGGAGGCGTGGAGTTACTAAAAGTATTATTTAGAGAGCTGAAGAGGGGTTATTGAGGTGGTCTGGTCATTTAGAGAGGATGGATCAAAATAAGATTGACTTGGAGGGTGTATAAATCAGTAATGGAGGGGAGGAGGGATAGGGGTCAGCCTAGGAAAGGATGGAGGGAGGGGGTAAAAGAGGTCTTGTGTGCAAGGGGCTTGGACATGCAGCAGGCATGTGTGAGCATGTTAGATAGAAGTGAATGGAGATAAATGGATTTTGGGACCTGACAAGCTGTTGGAGTGTGAGCAGGGTAATATTTTATGAAGGATTCAGGGAAACCAGTTAGCTGGACTTGAGTCCTGGAGGTGGGATACTGGGTGTTGGAGTGACATCTAAACTGTCATATCTGGGTGTCCTGGCAAAGACAGTGAATATGTGTGAATGGCAAAAGTGTTGAATGATGGTGAAAGTGTTTCTTTTTGGGTCACACTGCTTCAGTGGGATATGGCTGATGTGTTGAAAAAATGTAAAAATAGCTTATATGGCAGACGATAGCTTTGCCAAACAAAGTGAGGTCACATAAAAATTTTTTATAAATATGATAATCTGTTTGCTCATTTTTTTAATACAGTCTCTCCCCTACTTAACCCTTTCAGGGTTTCGGCCGTACTAGTACGGCTTACGCCCCAGGGTTTTTGACGTACGTACTAGTACACCTAAATTCTAGCACCCTCAAATCTAGTGAGAGAAAGCTGGTAGACCTACATATGAAAGAATGGGTCTATGTGGTCAGTGTGCGCAGTATAAAAAAGTCCTGCAGCACACAGTGCGTAATGAGAAAAAAAAAACTTTGACCGTGTTTTTTGGATTAAAACAGCGACTTTGCACTGCATTTTTGTATGGTATTTATGGTTGTATTCTAGTTTTCCTGGTCTCATTTTATAGAATGGAAGACATATTACAGAAATTGAGATGGTTTTGACTGGTTTTACAATGAAAAGTACCTTGAAATTGAGCTCAAAGTAGCAGAAATGTTCGATTTTTACCAAAGTTCAAAAATAAACAAATCATGCCAAGCTTCCAATACACATCAACTGGGGAGTCTAATATTCTTTCACAAGTGCGCTGATATTATTTATACCATTCCTACACTAATGCAGTAGTCTGCATAACAGTAAATCTTCTATTTTTTGTAAGAAAAAAAATTCAAAGGGGAAAGCCAAAGAAATATAAGAGGGGCCTGGGGATGTGACTAACAAACAGAGAACTTGTTATTTTAGTGCCAGGAATGTCTTTCTTGTTTATTCTGGACCCTATTCGGAAATTGGCATCTTTTGAAGTTTGTGTGAAATTGACAAAATTGCTAAATTCTGACCACTTCATTGGATAGTTGAAATCGGTAAATGGGTGGTTTCTTGTACTCATTCGATAGAAAAATGGAGTTCTAGCAAAATAGTTATGATTTTTGTTGACTAGTACACTGGAATTGGCTGAAAAAAGAGCTCAAAGTGGGCAAAATCGCCGATGTGTAAACATCGTCGAGACCGTTAACTTCGCGAGAGCATAATTCCGTAAGGTTTCCATCAAATTTCATACTTTTGGTGTCATTATGATCGGGAAAATATTCTCTATCTTTTCATAAGAAAATTTTATTTTTTTTTTTTAAATTTGGGCGACCCTGAGAACAAGTCTCGGAGAGGGCCTGGCGACCCTGAAAGGGTTAAGAATAGGTTCGATTCTGAATGGTCATTCATAAGCACATTTGTTCATAAGTCCAATATATGTACATATACAGTATATGTGTACACAGGAAAAATACATATTGTACATTAGTAAACAAAAAAAGTTATAAATGAAATAATGTTTATAAAAAAGTTTGTAAATACGTAATACAGCCTCTCCTCACTTAATGACAGAGTTCCATTCTTGAGATCACGTCGTTACACGAATTCACCGCTAAGTGAGGAGCATACTATAATGGTAATGTTTATACAGTAGTGTACTGTATACTGAAATAAATAGAATAGAGGAAATCAGCTGTAATACACATTTAGGCATGAATACTGGTCAGAGATCCCGTCGTAAGTCTGAGGTGTCGGTAAACAAGTACGTCACTAAGTGAGGAGAGGCTGTATAAATTTAATAAAAAGATGGTGAGAAGGTGTTGGCCTAAATGTGGTAGCATCTGAAGTCGATGGCGCATTTAGGCTCCTGGTTAGACTCATTACCTTTGTCCACCATCTTGAAGAAGTGGTCTAGGGATGTCTGGGTGGTGGCCTTCTCTTAATAGATGAAACAGTAGCAGTGAATTGCATCATGAATAGCTGCTGAAACCTTGGTATATCGTTCCACATTTGGGTCCTGTGATTCAAACTATGACAGAGATTCTTCAAGCAAATGAAATCCCTCTGCCATCATTTTGTCTGGAAGTGCTCTACTTTCTTTATTATGTCCACTTTTCTTTCCAATGTGATGGCCTGGAGCTTCTTAGCACTACCACCTGCATCACCACTGCTTTTGTGCTTTACACCAGACATATTGGGGGTATAATAATCACAAATAACACTGAATTTGTGGAGAAAGCACAAGCACACGTATGAATGATGCCACTAGTTTAACTTATTATGTATTGTTTATGTCTCGTCGCTTCCCGCACTACACTGCCGCCATCACACAGTGGACTGAAAACAATCTTATGCCGAAATTTTCAACTTCAGGGCAAATTGTTCTTATTATCGAAAGTTCAGAACATGAATCTTCATATGTAGGGGAGTCTCCATACACTGGTCATCATCTACTGAGGAAGAGTGACCCAAAAAAGAAGCACTTTCACCATCAATTATACTATCCCTGTCTTGCCAGAGGCTCATAGATATGACAGTTCAGATGTCTCTCCCAACAGCAATAATATCTCTAACCCCTCCTTTAGAGTGCAGGCACTCTACTTCCCACCTTCAAGACTCAAGTCTTGCACATTATATAATGAATTAATTATAAATAATGTTAAATGAATTTAGGTTGATTTACCTATATTACTCTAGGCAGTCTTAAGCTATACTTGTACAGCCTCTCCTCACTTAATGATGGAGTTCCGATCCTAAGACCACGTCAGTAAACGAATTCGTCGCTGAGGAGCATACTATAATGGTGGTGGGTTTGTGTCAATCATCTCTGATGTTGTTTTAGTGTTACTTTTGCACCATTTATAACATTTCTGGTATGTTTTTAAATGTTTATACAGCATTGTACTGTATAAGGTAATAAACAGAATTGAGGAAATCAGCTCTAATATACATTATTTGGGTATGCATACTGGTCAGAGAGCCCATCGTAAGCCCAAGGCGTCGATAAATGAGTAAGTTGCTAAGTGAGGAGAGACTGTATTAGATAAAAATTATTCTTCTCAAGTCTAGGTAAGGTTGCTAAGCTAGTTATTGTGAAAATTAAAAATAACTGTACTGTATAATGTTTATGCTTGTGAATATGCTGCATCTATCATTCCCAAGTCAAATATTTTGAAAAATCTAATTTTAAGAGAGTTTCAGTCTATTTTACAAGCCAAGTTAAAGAGAAAAATATATACATTGGCTTTATTTCTAGTAAAAATATATCCTTATTTTCTACTAAGATATTTAGTGTACCGGTATATTAAGTACTTACCTTAATACCTCGTCTCTTTATCTCCTCTAGATTCAGATGGTCATGTCCAACAGACATTGTGCCAATAACTTTCAGGTTAGGTCCTATTAAAGAAAAAATAATTGATAATACTTAATACAGTTTACCAGCTTAATATGTAGTCTTCTGGTCTTCTCTATAAACAGCTTTTGCAATCATCTTATTACATTATTTTCCCTACCTTTCCTAGATGGAATATGACCAAACATTATATATCACCCAGAAACTGAACCAACAATCTCTTTTTGATAAGACAAACAAAATTAGCTGCTACACTCCAGAAATCGCTGACCCAGATCTTTACATAAATATATAATTCCATCCACTAAATTACAGAAACTCACAGTCCAGCTTGAGCATTCATTCCTATCAAACAATGAAAGAGGCATCTTGATGCTGAAGGATTCTTAATATAAGGAATTAGGGCTAATCTCCCCTTCCCTGGATTAAACCTGATTACCTCCTATTCCCCAGGTGTTATCATTGTCATCCTAATAGGTTTAGTGTTTCTCCTTAAATGTGCCAACATCCCTGTCAAAACAATTTTATAAGTGTCTATGTTATTAATATTTATAATTTATCTTCTGCATTTATAACAGGACAGGACACACATTTACCTAAAGGAACAACCTCACAGAATCATCTCCTAATATATTAATGAATTCTAAGACATCAAAGACTGGAGAACACAAAACACCTTCCAGGAAATTCCACATGCTGGTCTTTCTCCATAATAAAGAGGAGTCACCCTAACTTGCACTCATAAATAAGACTGTGTGGCAAGAATACTGATTATCCTAGAAAAATATATAGTACTGCAAAATTGAGAATACAAGAGGAAAGCTACAGCAAAAGAAAGACTTTAGCAAAATGAAAAAAAAAATATATAGCATTGTAGAATAGTAAAAATGAGTGTCACCGAGCTAAGCAGCAATCCAAGCAGTGGCGTATGGTAGTTACTGTCACAGGGTGTGCACTGTGCTACCATGCACAACCAGGGGACAGAAAAATTAGTTTCCCATTAGGATCCATGATTATACTGAGTGAGCTTAGTATTTATGATGAATTTACCATCTTAGGTGGGCATGCACCACTTGCCTAGCACACCAAGAATATACACCCCTGACTCCAAGCATTAGTCTACCAGGAATACAAAATGCCACTGTGAGAAACAAATACGTACTCTTCTCATCTTGCAGATTCCACTGACACTTAGCATACCGCTTAACAATTATTATACACTCTTATATTCTGTGTAATAAGAAAGTATGAAATGCATCACTTTACCTGCTGCATCCAGTACATCCTTATCAATCTTCTCAGTGACACAGCATAATATGGCATCTTTTCCGGAGATTTTCTTCAGTAGCTCATCACGTGGAATTGGGAAAGATTCATGCCATATATCTACTTCACATCTGTTAATACAAATGAACTTCATATATTTCATGGTGATCTTTGCTTATTAAATACAGTGGAACCTCCACTTGCGAGCGCATCCACATGCGAGTTTTTCCAAACAAGAGCAGTTGATCGGTTGATTTTTTGCTTCCATATGCGAGCGAAATTTCCATAAGCGAGCGGGCCTCAGGGGAGGTTCCTTGATGCTGGTGAGGGGCTCTTGCTCTTGATCTAGGGAATTGGATCTCATTTGTTTGTTGGACTGTCTTACTGAAACTTGGGCAATATATTATGGAAAGATGCTTCTTAATGTACACTAAAAATAAAAGAAATTGGACCATAAATAATGGAGTTCACCTTAGCGGTATTTTCGTATGGTTTTTATGGTTAAATTCTCATTTCTTTTGGTCTCATTTGATAGAATGGAAGATATATTACAGAAATAAATATGATTTTGATTGGTTTCATGATGAAAAGTACCTTGAAATTGAGCTCAAAGTAGCAGAAATGTTCGATTCTTTGGCGATATTCATTTCCAATATGCAGTCATAAATGGGTTGACATTATTTATACAATTATTACAATAATGTTATTTATATTGTTTATTATGTCAGATGAATTGTGATAGATAAATAAGCCATAGAGATGATATTGTCAAAATTATTCAAGAAGTATCTTGTCCTGTCTCCAAATTCTCATCCACCACCGACGCCGCCCATACCACTACATGAATGACATACAGTGGAACCTCAAAAATCGAACTTAATCTGTTCCAGGAGCTAGTTCTAAATTCGAAAAGTCTGAAATTCGAAGCAATATTTCCCATAAGAAATAATGGAAATACAATTAATCCGTTCCAGAAACCCAAAAATATTCACACAAAAAATACATTTTATAGAGATTAATTACAGTTTTACATACAACAAATACTATAGTTTTTAATTATGTATTACCTGGACCTGGAGTTTTACCTGGAGAGAGTTCCGGGGGTCAACGCCCCCACGGCCCGGTCTGTGACCAGGCCTTCTGGTGGATCAGAGCCTGATCAACCAGGCTGTTGCTGCTGGCTGCACGCAAACCAACATACGAGCCACAGCCCGGCTGGTCAGGAACCGACTTTAGGTGCTTGTCCAGTGCCAGCTTGAAGACTGCCAGGGGTCTGTTGGTAATCCCCCTCATGTATGCTGGGAGGCAGTTGAACAGTCTCGGGCCCCTGACACTTATTGTATGGTCTCTTAACGTGCTAGTGACACCCCTGCTTTTCATTGGGGAGATGTTGCATCGTAGTAATACATATAAAATAACATTTTTACTTACCTTTATTAAAGATTGGTGATGGCATCTGGAAGACTGGGAGGAGGAGAGAGGAAGTCGGGGTTAGTGTTTGGAAGGAGAATCCCCCTCCATGAGGACTTCAGGTAAAGCCCTCTCTGGGGTTACTTCCCTTCTCTGTCTTTTAATGCCACTAGGACCAGCTTGAGAGTCACTGGACCCCTGTCTCACAAAATAACTGTCCACAGTCCTCTGTTTCTGGTGCCTCTTTAACATTTCCCTAAAATGGGACATGGTTCTGTCACTGAACTTGTTGCAAAGATGGCTTGTTTCAGCTTGCTCAGGGTGGTACTTCTGCACAAACAAACATTTGGACATTATTCCACTTGGCACAAATCTCCTTAATCTTTTAAGAAGGCACCTCATCCACTCCCTATATTAACACCTTTCACAACATCAGCTTCCTTGATTTGTTCTTTCTTTGACAGGATAGAACCGATGGTCGACTTGTTTTTCCCATACATCCTGGCAAGCTCAACAAGTCTCACACCACTCTCATACTTCTGTATTATTTCCTTCTTCACATCTATGGTGTTTCTCACTTTCTTTACCACAGGGGTACCACTAGCAAGTTTCTTTGGGCCCATGGCAGCTTATTTCACAGTCCCACAAGCACTAAACACAACGAAATAATCGTAAAATGCGTGAATGAGAGTGCAGGTTAGTGTTCACTCAAGCATAAACAAAGCTAGACTGCTCACGGCGCCTGTGCGGGGACATGGACAGAGCGGGCCGGCAGACAGGTCCCGTACCCGGTGGTCCGAAAATAGGGGCGCGTTCAATAATAGGGACACAGTTTGTCCGAAAAAATGGTCCTATTTTCGAAACGTTCGATATGTGATACATTCGATTTTTGAGGTTCCACTGTATTTTATTCATTCTAGAGTATACAGTGGACCCCCGCATACCGTTGGCCTTACATAACGTTAAATCCGCATACCGATACATTTTATCGCTAAGATTTTGCCTCGCATACCGCTAAAAAACCCGCTCAACGCTGTTCGTCCGAGACGCGTCTAATGTGCGGCCTGAGCCAGCCTCACATGTTCCGCCGGTGGCATTGTTTACCAGCCAGCCTCCGTGGTAACATCCAAGCATACAATCGAAACATTTCGTATTATTACAGTGTTTTTGGTGATTTTATCTGCAAAATAAGTGACCATGGGCCCCAAGAAAGCTTCTAGTGCCAACCGTACAGCAATAAGGGTGAGAATTACTATAGAGATGAAGAAAGAGATCATTGATAAGTATGAAAGTGGAGTGCGTGTCTCTGAGCTGGCCAGGTTGTATAATAAACCCCAATCAACCATCGCTACTATTGTGGGCAACAAAACGGCAATCAAGGAAGCTGTTCTTGCCAAAGGTTCAACTGTGTTTTCGAAACAGAGATCGCAAGTGATGGAAGATGTTGAGAGACTTATTGGTATGGATAAATGAAAAACAGATAGCAGGAGATAGCATCTCTCAAGTGATCATAAGTGAAAAGGCTAGGAAGTTGCATGAGGATTTAATTAAAAAAATGCCTGCAACTAGTGATGATGTGAGTGAATTTAAGGCCAGCAAAGGTTGGTTTGAGAGATTTAAGAAGCGTAGTGGCATACATAGTGTGATAAGGCATAGTGAGGCTGCCAGTTCGGACCACAAAGCAGCTGAAAAATATGTGCAGGAATTCAAGGAGTACATAGACAGTGAAGGACTGAAACCTGAACAAGTGTTTAATTGTGATGAAACAGGCCTGTTTTGGAAGAAAATGCCAAGCAGGACCTACATTACTCAGGAGGAAAAGGCACTCCCAGGACATAAGCCAATGAAAGACAGGCTTACTCTGTTGATGTGTTCCAATGCTAGTGGTGATTGCAAAGTGAAGCCTTTATTAGTGTATCACTCAGAAACTCCCAGAGCGTTCAGGCAAAAGAATATCCTCAAGGCTAATTTGTGTGTGCTGTGGAGGGCAAACAGTAAGGCATGGGTCACTAGGGACTTTTTCTATGACTGGTTACACCATGCATTTGCCCCCAATGTGAAAGATTACCTAACTGAAAAGAAATTAGACCTTAAGTGCCTCCTGGTGTTAGACAATGCCCCTGGTCATCCTACAGACGTGGCAGAGCGACTTTATGGGGACTTGAGCTTCATTAAGGTGAAGTTTTTTCCTCCTAATACCACTCCTCTCCTGCAGCCCATGGACCAGCAGGTTATTGCAAACTTCAAAAAACTGTACACAAAAGCTCTGTTTGAAAGGTGCTTTGTAGTGACCTCAGAAACTCAATTGACTCTAAGAGAGTTTTGGAGAGAGCACTTTAATATCCTCAATTGTGTAAACCTTATAGGTAAGGCTTGGGAGGGAGTGACCAAGAGGACCTTGAACTCTGCTTGGAAGAAACTGTGGCCAGAATGTGTAGACCAAAGGGATTTTGAAGGGTTTCAGGCTAACCCTGAGAGGAGTATGCCAGTTGAGGAATCCATTGTGGCATTGGGAAAGTCCTTGGGGTTGGAGGTTAGTGGGGATGATGTGGAAGAGTTGGTGGAGGAGGACAATGAAGAACTAACCACTGATGAGCTGCTAGATCAACTTCAACAGCAAGAGGCCAGACCTGAGGAAACTGGTTCGGAGGAGGGGAGAGAGAAATTGAAGAAGTTGCCTACTGCAAAGATTAAGGAAATCTGTGCAATGTGGCTGAAAGTGCAAACCTTTATGGATGAAAATCACCCTCACACAGCTATTGCAAGCCGTGCTGGTGACTATTACACTGACAATGTTGTGAAACACTTTAGGGAAGTCATAAAGGAACGAGAGGTACAGGCCACTATGGACAGATATGTTGTGCGACGGAAGTCCAGTGACTCTGAAGCTGGTCCTAGTGGCATTAAAAGAAGAAGGGAAGTAACCCCAGAAAAGGACTTGACACCTCAAGTCTTAATGGAAGGGGATTCCCCTTCTAAACACTAAGACTCTCTCCTTCTCCCATCCCATCAATCATCACCAGATCTTCAATAAAGGTAAGTGTCATGTAATTGTGCATGCCTTTTTCAGTTTGTGTGTATTAAAATTAATATTTCATGTGGTAATTTTTTTTTTTTTCATACTTTGGGGTGTCTTGCACGGATTAATTTGATTTCCATTATTTCTTATGGGAAAAATTCATTCGCATAACGATAATTTCGCATAACAATGAGCTCTCAGGAACGGATTAATATCGTTATGCGGGGGTCCACTGTATATCAGGTTTCTATGTTATTTATATTGTTTATTATGTCATATTAGATGAATTGTGATAAATAAATAAACCATATAGATGATATTAGTGAAATATTGAAGTATCTTGTCGTGCCTCTCGAGAGCCGGGAATGGATTAATTGCATTTCAATTAATTTAAATGAGGAAAATTGACTCTGCAAACGAGCAAATCCAGATATGCGCAAGGTCACGAAACGGATTAAACTTGTGAGTGGAGGTTCCACTGTATATATTAGTATTGTGCAACATTAAGCTTCTAACAGAATGACCTATATTACTACTTTTTTTTGGAGAAATCAAAAGTTGTCTGCCAAACATAATAAGAATTGCTACAGAACAGGTGGGGGTTTGAATCCATGGCAAGTGAGTTATAAAACTCTAGGCCTGTGTGTGATCTGTGGGTTTTTTGTAATAGTGTTATTAAGATTTCTTCAGTCAAGAAATGCTATATTATACAGAGTGTTTAACTTATAATCACCTTAATTTGCAAAATTTTTCAACTTCACATAAGCAAAAAAAGATTTACTGTATAAAAACTAATTTGCCAAACATACTAAACATTGTTACAAAAACTCTGATAGATCACAAATATATTTTTGCAAAAATTTGTCGTATTTATTTTTACATTTATATAAAAATTATGATACAGGAGGACCCCAATTTAAGGCATTTTGCTAATACAGCAGTTTTCAGTTATACCCATTCTTCATTTAGTCAGACTTCCTACAATAAATATATTCACCACTCACTATAAGCTAAGGACGAAAATATTTTAAGTAATGTGTACTGTATATGCATTTTTTAGGCCTAGTTCTATTGTTCACTTAATATATGATAGTGTAAACATATTATCAGGCTTTTATATGTATTTGGAAGTGATAAAAGGTTATGTTTCACTTTACAGCAGTTGCCTTGAACCTAACCTGCTATATAAGTGGGACCCACCTGTACTGTAACAGTTTTACAAGTTCTTACAGGATGTGTAAGAACTGCCAGATTATCATAGCTAAGTTGGAAGTGAGCTCCAACAACTTTGCTGAACAAGAAATCATACGGGAGGCCTGGTTTCAAGATGGATTGTGAAGCCTGGTCTCAAGTTGGATTGTGAAGCCTGGTCTCAAACTGGATTGTGAAGCCTAGTCTCAAATTGGATTGTGAAGCCTGGTCTCAAATTTGATTGTGAAGCCTGGTCTCAAGTTGGATTGTGAAACCTGGTCTCAAATTGGATTGTGAAGCCTGGTCTCAAACTGGATTGTGAAGCCTGGTCTCAAATTGGATTGTGAAGCCTGGTCTCAAATTGGATTGTGAAGCCTGGTCTCAAACTGGATTGTGAAGCCTGGTCTCAAATTGGATTGCAAAGCCTGGTCTCAAACTGGATTGTGAAGCCTGGTCTCAAATTGGATTCTGTACCTGTACCAAAATAAAATTACTTACTAACTCTCATCCATTTTGTCTTCCTATCATTGGAAGGTGACGAAAATGAAAAAATTATGGACTCCATGCAATTTGTACATCCCATAAAGTTGGGATTGGAAAAACAGAGAGAGTGAAATTTTAATTATTATTATTGTTGTGGGGGAGCAATAAACCCATAGGGAAGGAAGGCATTCAGGCTCAATTCAGGGAACTAGAGCACAGATCCAATTTCCTAGATCAAGAGCCCCTCACCAGCATCAAGGTCAAGGGGAGATTTATTTGAAGGGCAGTTTTATAAATAAATAACAAAAAGGCACAATACCGTGACTGGAACGATACACAAATAACCCGCACATAAAAGAGAGAAGCTTACGACGACGTTTCGGTCCGACTTGGACCATTGACAAAGTCACACTGTGTGTGTGTGGCAGTTTTATATTTCATTTTCTACCAAGGGACCCCAAGGAAAATTCATCTAAAATGACAACTCATGTAATCTGCTGGCACATTCCTGTGGAATGTTTTTTTTTTTTTTAAATCAAAGAGTATGGAAATTGTTGTAAAAAAATATAACAAAAGTAATAAATATTGCTTATTAGTCTGTCTTTTATGCTCCCCCCCTCAAAAAAAAAAGAGATGAGCTTTCATTGTTTGTAAATTAAAGGAAAAATTATATAACTATACTGCATACACAAGCTATGAGTTAAATTTTGGAGCTTACTTATCATTTATGATGTCTAGAGCTTTTTGTGGTACATCTCTCCTGGTAATAAGTACTCTGGGTCTTGACATTGTAGTGGCTGATACAGAGATGGTTCTGAAAATCAAAAATGTAAGCAATGCTATTAATGGACATCGTTTTAGTTTATAAAACATATCTATCAAGAGCCTATAGACATTATTCTCTTCATATGGTCTTCTGAGCTGGTCTATATTCATTAGATTATGATATGTACATATTTCATAAAAAATACTCCATTTCCTCCAGATTATAATGCAATTTATTATTATCATTATGGATTATTATTATTATTATTATTATAATCAATGGGGAAGCGCTAAACCCGGAGGATTATACAGCGCCTGGGGGGGGATGTGAAAGGCATTCAGGCTTAATTCGGGGAACTGGAGCACAGATCCAATTCCCTAAATCAAGAGCCCCTCACCAACATCAAGGAACCTTCCTTGAGGGGTATCATTATGGAACTAGGCAATTATAAATAGGTAGCACAGCACTTACCATATGGGGAATTGAAAGGATATCCTAGATTAAAACATCATATAATCTCACGTTTTGTATATTAGTGCTATGTATTAGTAATTTGTCATTACAGTATTTAAGTTGAAACACAAATTTATGATAGGGACTGTAATTATATATACTGGTAATGGACTTTCCACATGTACTATTAAATGTCAGTCAACTTCGTAAAAACTGTATCATTTAAAAATAAAGCATTATTATTGTTATGAAAGGACACAGGTGCATACACTTTAGGATATTTTTATTGGATGTGTATACGTCCTGGATGGGACCTTGGCTACTCCGCATGAAGTAACCATTTGGAGTGACCAAGGCCCCAGGAATTAAACACAAGCAAGTTTATTTAGGTATAGGTACACAGAAGTACAATTGTCATACATAGTAACATGTGCATAAAGAACCCCAATTTAAATAAGTCACTGTCTGACTTTTTTGGTTATCCTAGGTAACTTACACTATGTATGACAATTGTTGTTTATGTGTACCTGTACCTAAATCAACTTACATACCTAAGATAACCCAAAAGTCAGACAAAGTGACTTATTTCCATTGGGGTCCAATGATGTTGTAAATGTGTGTACCTTGTGTCCTCTCATCCACATCCAACAATATGAGCAGACTCTCTCCCCAGTGGCAGTAAGTCACTCTTGACATTTTTTTGGGTTATTCTATGTAATTACACATGTTACTTATGTATAATAATTTTTGTAATAGTATTTATGTGTACCTGTACCTAAATAAACTTACTTATTCTTCAATGACACTACTACCTGGCTTTGGCTGGAAATGAGATACCTCCAGAAGTTTGCATCAACAGCTGTAGACATAACTAAATGTAAACTTTGCTAGAGGGACTACTGTCATGCCCTGTGCCAATATGTGTTGGAATACAAGTGTTCAAGAAATGTTCAGGTATTTTATCCACAGTTACATTTTGTAAGGACCCCAATGGAAATCACAAGGACCCCAATGGAAATCACAAGGTCCCCAATGGAAATCACAAGGACCCCAATGGAAATCACAAGGACCCCAATGGAAATCACAAGGACCCCAATGGAAATCACAAGTTCCCCAATGGAAATCACAAGGACCCCAATGGAAATCACAAGGTCCCCAATGGAAATTGCAAGGACCCCAATGGAAATCACAAGGTCCCCAATAGAAATCACAAGGTCCCCAATGGAAATCACAAGGACCCCAATGGAAATCACAAGGTCCCCAATGGAAATCACAAGGACCATAGTGGAAATAAGATACTGATGTTTTTAGGTTATCCTACGTAAGTTAGGTTAGGTAAGATTCATCAGGAAACAGGACAAGTGTTTCCTGTCACAGGTCTTAGTCCAATGATGACCTGTCATTGGAGCTTTTGGTCATCTGACCGAGGCCTTCCGCTGGCTTACCAGTCCACCCCTTTAAAAATTTGGGTCATGGTTATAACCATTATTTGTTTATCCTAGGTAACTTACACATAGGTTAAACTAATTACCTAAATAAACTTATTAGCAATATTGGAATATAACTTAACTTTAGCTATTATAAATAACTCATGATCACAGATAACCATATTGTAATATTTTATGACTGAAATGATGCCTGTATAAACTCAGAACTATTGTTCACAATTCAGTCAATAAATTATTGTAGTTCATGACTACTGTAAATTTATTTAGCAAATACAAATGTTGGGGCCCAGTCCCTGGACCCCATTGTCTGTAACCCTATGATTACTATCCACAAGATGGATATGGACCAACTACCACCCATAGGATGTTAATGGGGTAACTACCACCCACAGGATGTTAATGGGGTAACTACCACCCACAGGATGTTAATGGGGTAACTACCACCCACAGGATGGATATGGGTTAACTACCAGCCATAGAATGGCTATGGGGTAACTACTGCCCATAGGATTTATTATTACAATCAGAACTAAGCACTAAACCCACAAGGGTCATAAAGCTGTCTTAGGATGTTAATGAAACAGATCACAAACAAACGGCTTGGTTGCCCATGGCTAACCAGCACCATTCTGAAATCCATTGACAAGAAACACCAATATGAAAAGCAATATAGACAGGGCTTAATACACAAAGATATTCTTAAACACTATTCATCAGTTCTCACCAAAGTAATAAAGAAAGCCAAACAACTATACTACTCCAGTAGATTCACAGACACTAGAGGAGATATAAAAAAGACCTGGAAAACACTCTCAGATTCTAGGGACCCACAAACTGAAAAAAAAACAAGAATATTGTCCTAACTAAACCTAATGAAACACCACTACATCCCACTGACACAGCTAACAAGATAAACGACTTCTTCTCAACCATAGGATCTAATCTCACCAATAAAATCCCACATACTAATGCCCATGCCGGGCTGACTACCTAGATGGGAATTTCCCAAATTCCTTCTAGTATCTTGCACCAACTGAGCCCTCGGAAGTCACCGAGATTATAAAGTCACTTAAAAACAACTCAGGGAATCTGTCTAATGTCCCACCATTACTGTACAAGCGAGCGGCCCATATCCTTTCGCATGCTATTTCATTACTTTTTAACAAGTCACTAGAAACTAGCACCTTCCCGAAACTACTCAAGATGGCAAGGGTTACACCAATACATAAAGGTGGTGACCCTACAGACTTAAACAACTATAGGCCAATATCAAACTTACCATTGCTATCCAAAATCTTTGAGAAACTCGTGCACAGGAGACTATATTCATTTATAACAGCACAAAACATACTCAACCCCTGCCAATTTGGATTTAGGAAAAATAAAAGCACTAATGATGCAATCATAAAAATGCTAGATCTGCTTTACACAGCATTGGAAAATAAGGAATATCCACTAGGAATTTTTATTGACCTAAAAAGCTTTTGACACAGTAGACCACGACATCCTACTCCACAAACTTGACCATTACGGTATAAGAGGCCATGCGCTTGCTTATTTCAAATTTTACCTTACTAATAGGTATCAGTATGTTACCATTAAAGACACAGCATCAACAACACGGCCACTTGATACTGGAGTTCCACAGGAAAGTGTCCTTGGTCCCCTGCTCTTCCTCATATACATCAATGATCTTCCAAACGTATCCCAACACCTGAAACCCATTCTCTTTGCTGACGACACGACTTATGTCATCTCACCCTAATCTTGCCACCCTCAACACCATTGTTAACGAGGAGCTGATCAAACTATCGACTTGGATGACAGCCAATAAACTTAAGCTTAACACTGACAAAGCCTACTATATTATGTTTGGTAGCAGAGCAGGATATGCACAAATTAACATTAAGATCGACAACACTCTAATTACCAGACATAATGAGGGCAAATTCCTAGGCCTATACCTTGACAACAACCTGAATTTCAGCACCCATATCCAACACATAACCAAAGAAGTATCCAAAACAGTTGGGATCCTCTCCAAGATACGATACTACGTGCCGCAAAATGCCCTTCTCACACTATACCACTCACTTATTTCTCCATACCTCACCTATGCTATTTGTGCTTGGGGATCAACTGCAGCAACACACCTAAAGCCAATAATAACCCAACAAAAAGCTGCAGTAAGAATAATCACTAAATCCCATCCCTGGCAACACACCCCCCCATTCTTCATAGATCTAAACTTACTCCCTGTTCAGTACATCCACACTTACTACTGTGCAATCTACATCTACAGGACCTTAAACTCCAATATCAACCTTGACCTAAAACGCTTTCTTGATAGTTGTGACAGAACCCACAGGCATAACACCAGACACAAACATCTCTAACGACATTCCCCATGTCCGACTAAACCTTTACAAAAATTCAATGTATGTCAAAGGCCCTAAAATCTGGAACACCCTACCTGAGAACTCTAGAACTGCAGACACATTCATCACCTTCAAAACTACCATTAGAAAACATCTTATCTCCCTGATACACCCCGTCAACTAACTACACGAATACCACCTGGTGGTTCACACTTACACTCACTCACCCATTTGACCATAAACAGAAATATTAATCTCAATCTTAAAATAATGAATCCTATGATACTCCAATACTGAAACTATGTACTGTGCCAAAACAAAAGCATTCACATTGCTAAACTCACAAACTAGTATTTAGTCACTTAGCCATAATACCAACTTACCTCATAATTTGAAAAATTTTAAAATAAAGAATTAAACTAAGTCTGCCCGAAATGCCTAGCCATGCTAGGTGTTTTAGTGGTACACTCTGTAATCATTATTTTACTACATGTAAACCACACAACAACCAAATTCTGTAAATTCAACATTGTAATCTTTATAGAGAATAAACTTTGAATTTGAATTTGAATTTGAATGGGGTAACTACCACCCACAGGATGGCCATGGAGTGCATAATGGTTTCAAACTAGTCATGACTTTCTATTTTATTTTAATCGGGAGTAAGCAGTAAACCTATATGGGTCATATAGCACCTGGGAACGGGGGGGAGTGTTATTCATGTTCGATCCAAGGAAGGGGAGGATAAATCAAGTTCCTTGGATCAAGAGCCCCTACCCGGCATCAAGGAACCGGTGATGGGTTAATGGGGTTTAAAGCCTCTCTACTACACTGGGGTAATTAAGACTGCACGTAACTTTTTCACCAGACAAAAATACTTTTATCCCTAAAATAGAGATTAAACGCTGTGTATATACACAGAGAAATATACATCTCGGTGTATAAATATCCTAAGCAACTGGTAAGGGAATTTGTAACTACTTGTAAGTACTTTAGGGACTAACTACCAGGCCACACATAACTCCTATATCTATTACTTGAAATTTGTTTATATTCACCAAGTTCCTGGTTAAATCTGATGGCTTCCTGGTGTCAATTAATCTTCGTGTCACCCGCGGCACTTGAAGTACAATGTCAGCCTTTACCTTTTTAGATGATGTAGAGATGTCAGAATTAGAATCTTTGTGGAGGGTGTATGGTTAATGAGTGTCTTGGTCTTGAGCAAGGTGGTGAAGGTGCCTAGCCTGAGTGCCACATACACTGGCACCCCCAGCATCATATCTTAACACACGATAAAAATATTCAGCATGGCACTCCACCATCTACGTCATGGAGAGTGCAATCACGGACACTTCCAGTTGTACAATAAAAAGACAACTGTATACAATTACTACTTTAACAACTGCGTTAGCCAAATCCAATAATGGAATCTTTACATGTAGTAATAAGGTTGTGCAACATGCGACCTCATAAAAAAAAAAATGTATCCGTGAATGATTGAGTGTGCAGTCAGCTGTGTGTGTCCTGATCACACTTGTTATTGATGTGTGATCACATGTTGTTTACCCTGAGAGAATTTCCTCTACGTATAGCCCTGGAGAGTTTGTTTTAATAACTATTTTGTGGAATTATCATGACGCTCTAAACCCGTAGGGATTATACAGCGTCTAGGGGGTGTAAGTTTATTATGGTACAGGTAAAAATGAATACAGGTACACATGGATACAGGTACACAAATACAGGTACACATAAATATAGGTACACAAATACAGGTACACACATACAGGTACACACATACAGGTACACATGGATACAGGTACACAAATACAGGCACACATATAGGTACACAAATACAGGTACACACATACAGGTACACATAAATACAGGTACACAAATACAGGTACACAAATACAGGTACACAAATACAGGTACACAAATACAGGTACACAAATATAGATACACAAATACAGGTACACACATACAGGTACGCATGGATACAGGTACACAAATACAGGTACACAAATACAGGTACACAAATATAGATACACAAATACAGGTACACACATACAGGTACACATGGATACAGGTACACAAATACAGGCACAAATATAGGTACACAAATACAGGTACACACATACAGGTACACATAAATACAGGTACACAAATACAGGTACACAAATATAGGTACACAAATACAGGTACACATACAGGTACACATATACATGTACACATAAATACATGTGAAGCACCTAGAATGGAACAAGCTTATAAACGACAATGAGCATGGATTCATAGAAGGAAAATCCTGTGTCAGAAACCTTCTGGACTTTTATGAGAAGGTAACAGAAGACACGAGAGAGAGGGGTGGGTTGACTGCATTTTCCTGGTACGTGGCGAGGCATCACAGTGGGTGCCTGTGACGAGCGGGGTTCCACAGGGGTTGGTCCTAGAACCAGTGCTATTTTTGGTATATGTGAATAACATGACGGAAGGGATAGACTCAGAAGTGTCCCTGTTTGCAGATGATGTGAAGTTAATGGGGAGAATTTAATCAGATGAGGACCAGGCAGGATTACAAAGAGACCTGGGCAGGCTGGAAACTTGGTCCAGCAACTGGCTCCTCGGTTTTAACCCCGCCAAATGCAGTCATGAAGATCGGGGAAGGGCAAAGAAGGCCGCAGATAGAGTATAGGATAGGTGGCCAAAGACTGCAAACTTCACTCAAGGAGAAGGATCTTGGGGTGGGTAAAATACCGAGCACATCTCCTGAGGCGCACATCAACCAGATACCTGCTGCAGTACATGGGCGCCTGGCAAACCTGAGAATAGCGTTCCAATACCTCAATAACGAATCGTTCAGGACTCTATACACTGTGTACGTCAGACCCATATTGGAGTATGCCGCACCAGTCTGGAACCCACACCTGGTCAAACACGTCAAGAAATTAGAGAAAGTGAAAAGGTTTGTAACAAGGCTAGTTCCAGAGATCAAGGGAATGTCCTATGAAGAAAGGTTAATGGAAATCGGCTTGACAATAATGGAGGACAGGGGATATTAGGGAAGACATGATAACGACATACAAAATACTGAGAGGAATTGACAAGGTGGACAGAGAAAGGATGTTCCAGAGATGGTACACAAACAAGGAGTCACAATTGGAAGTTGAAGACTCAGATGAGTCAGAGAGATGTTAGGAAGTACTTTAGTCATAGAGTTATTAGGAAGTGAAACAGTCTGGCAAGTGACGAAGTGTAGGCAGGAACCATACATATTTTTAAGACGAGGTATGATTAAGCTGTGGAGCAGGGAGAGAGAGGACCTAGTAGCGACCAATGAAGAGGCGGGGCCAGGAGGTATGTCTTGACCTCTGAAACCACAAACAGGTGAGTACATAAATACAGGTACACACATGTACAGGTACACATAAATACAGGTGCACATTATATAGGCACACACAAATACAGGTACACAAATAAAGGTACACATAATTACAGGTACACATAAATACAGGTACACACAAATACAGGTACACACAAATACAGGTACACATAAATACAGATACACATAGTAACATAAATTATCACTGACTTATTTCCATTGGGGTCCTTGTAATATCTTATTATTTAAGGCATTCAGGGAACTGGAACATAGATCCAATTCCCTAGATCAAGAGCCCCTTACCAGCATCAAGGAGCCTCCCCCAAGGGGTATTTTATGGAATAAAATTTTAATTGTAGTCTATAGATGAAATGTGGCTTGAACTGTATCGGAGCATAAAACAAATTCCAACCACACAATAGAGCAAAAAACTAATGTAAAAGACCTGGGAGTGATAATGTCAGAGGATCTCACCTTCAAAGATCACAATACTGTATCAATCGCATCTACTAGAAAAATGACAGGATGTATAATGAGAACCTTCAAAACTAGGGATACCAAGCCCATGATGACACTCTTCAGGTCGCAGGTGTCTATACTAGATCTGTGCCTTGGATTTAATATATCATATACAGTGCATGAATCTGTCATAGTTGATGATCTTCTATCTGATCATTTCCCAAGACTCACAACTGTCAAACTTGATCACATCTCCAGCAATCAAAAAGCTAAATACAGAAGGAGGAAACTTATTCTCATCCCAGAACACAGAGATAGCTTTATTAACCACTTGGATCAATGTTTTAAGAATTACGAGCCCATTAGCACACAAAAATTCAGTTGCCACTGTTGAGACTGTCCTCACAGATCAAGTGAGCAGGATAAGAAAACATAAATCTTCCACTATAAATGACAATAAAAACCAGTGTAAATACTATAATGATCCAGAGCTACGCAATCTAACACATGCAGCTAGGAGGATTGGTAAAGCATACCGTGAATGTAGAACCCCAGACCTGTTCAGAACGTTCCAAGCTGCACTAACAAATGCAAGGAATAGAAAGCAAGAACTTAGACAACAGGAATGGAAACAATTTGTTAGTGAGTTAAATATATCTACCCCTTTAAGACTGGCTTGGAAAGGTATAATATTGATGAGAGTGATTGCCTCTTCATCGCGTATGAATTAGATAATGCATTAACTAAAGGTCGATCAACTGCTCCTGGAGAGGATGATATAACCTATGATATTCTCAGAACTCTAAGGCACGTGCCTGATAACCCTTTGTTAGCACTGTATAATCTCAGTTACACTGAGGGAGTTCTTCCTACTTCCTGTACCAATAGTCTCATTGTGCGTATCCCTAAGCCCCAACAGCCTGATACATTTAGACCGATCTCCTTAATTAGTTGTCTTTGTAAAATTTTTGAGAGAATGATACTTAACAGACTGGACTACAGAATCAGACACCAACTTTCCCCTTATCTCTATGGATTCACGAAAGGTAAAAGTGTGCATAATTGTATTTCCACCTTTCTCACTGCACACACCTCTACCAGTTTTACCACATTTATTTATCTAAAATCTGCATCTGACATCGCAAAAAGAACTTTTATATTACATGAACTAGCCAAAATGAATATTGGTGGTAGCCTACTCTGCTGGATAATAGGATACCTGTCCTCTACCAAGGCTTTAGGAGAGAGTCTAAAGAAATGTCCCTATGTACACGCAGGGAGGAGTTCTGAGCCCCATGCTATTTAATGTTCTGATTAACGCTCTCCTAAATACTCTACCTGCCTCACCTAAACATATAGCTATAAGCTATGCTGATGACATCATGATCCATACAACAGGGCATAAGATGAGTATCATTCTTAATGAAGCTCAATCAATTTGTAATCGACTAGGCCTCATAATATCTTCCTCTAAAACAGACATTAACAAGCAAACGACATCCCCCACCCATCTATTTGCAGGGTGAAAACATTAGCTACGTTAAAACTTACAGATATCTTGGTGTAGATGTACCCTTTAACAAATCTACTATACCACAACTAAATAAGAAATGCAAAGATAGGCTAAATGTCTCAAAGCTGTTCTGGCTACAACCTCAACTATGGTGCTAATGTGAGAATCGTGAGAATGATGTACATAGCCTATGTTAGGTCCTTAATTGATTATGCTGCTCCTATGTCGATATTAGCTAGAGAAAGTTCTCTCCGACCCTTGGAGATAATGCAGAATGAAGCTCTCAGAATTATTCTTGGCTGTCCCAAATCTACAAAGGTTCTTAATATGAGGAAGGAGCTTGGCATTTCTAGTATCAGTGATAGGATTACTGAGATTAACACTGTACCCAGTATTTTTTTATATATATATTTTATTTAAAACTTCATTACAACATATTAAATAAATAAAAAAAAACCATCCTTTATTAAACAGGTATGCAAAACAGAATACGTTATGACAAGAATTAAATTCCTAAACATCATTACATGTGGAAAATATATAGTATATTTTCCGAAAATAGTGTATTTGTATGTAAATTAATAAAATATATTGTATTTAATAAAAATTATATTATAAAAAATGGGAAGCTCGGCGCCTGCACGGTGGAGCAGGGGGAGTCGCCATGTTTTTGAATGAGCCAAGAAAATGCTAGTGAAAATAAGGTGTATAATTTTCGTCGCTCTAGAGGTTATATTGGGCTTACACCTCTCAAATAGAGCCAAAATTGTTGGAAGTGCATTTGAGCATTAAATCGATGTACAGGACAGCTCCAGGAACCTCAGATAAGCTATCTAAATTATGTTTGTAATTCTGGCCAGTGTTATCATCATAAATTTAGTTAGAGGGAGGTTTTTGAGTATTATACACAGTAATCTCCAGACTAATTGGTGAGTGTTATGACTATAAATTCTCCTTCTGTTATATAAATGTGTATATGTAATCATTATTAATTTTAATATACAGTCCACAAAAATTATAATAATTTTACCAGAATTCCTGGTGTGTATGTACATTTCATTTGCAAT